TATTTTAAACAGAATCCCTACAAAATTACTAGGCTACAAATCCTCCTTTGAAAAATTGTACAGGCATCCTCCAGACTTGGCTCATCTCAAGGTGTTTGGGTGTTTGTGCTATGCTGCAAGTCCTCAGAAACCTGATAAGTTTTCTGCACGAGCTGTTCCTACTGTGTTTATGGGATACTCCTCCACACAAAAGGGCTATATTCTTTATGATATTCATGCACAAATGTTCTCTGTAAATAGGCATGTGGTGTTTCAAGAAGATTTGTTTCCTTACAAACATTTCCAAGCCTCACCTAATGCTATGTTTCCAATTCTGGACTATATCTCTCCTGTCCCACCTCCAGTGGTTCCATCTCCACCTTCTTCCTCTGTTGATTGTGCTAGACCAGTCTCACCTGAGTCTACTGGTGTGCTCCCTCCAGCTACTGAGGTGCTTTCTCCACCTCCTGAGGTGTTTCCTCCAGCTCCTAGGTGCTTCCTAGAAGGTCCTCCAGGTCCACCAAGCCTCCTCTATGGCTGCAGGACTTTGTTTCTAAGCCTAAGTCTCATGCATGTTCTTATTCACTAGCAGATCACCTGTCTTACAATCACTTGTCTTCGACATATAGAATGGCCTTGAATACTTACTCAGCTGTTTCTGAACCTAGTTCATTTAAGGATGCTGCTACTGATCCTAAATGGAGACAGGCTATGCAAGCAGAGATTGATGCTCTGGAAAGCAATCAGACTTGGAGCATAGTGGATCTACCACCTGGCAAGCGGCCTATTAGCTGCAAATGGATATATAAGATTAAGTACTTAGCTTCTGGGGAGGTTGAAAGGTACAAGGCCAGACTTGTGGCTCGAGGTTTTCGTTAACAAGAAGGGCTTGATTATGGTGAGACTTTTAGTCCTGTGGCAAAGATGGTGACTGTCCGGTCTGTGGTTGCTTTGGCTGCTTCCAAAAGATGGTTTATATATCAGATGGATGTCCACAATGCTTTCTTGAATGGTGATTTGCATGAAGAGGTCTACATGGACATTCCCTGTGGTTTTGCTAGACAGGGGGAGAGT